AAAAGAAAAGAAATTGCTGTGAGTCGAGGAACAGAAGAGGCATACGGCCTGTCAGAGGAAGGACCAAGGTGCTCTTGGGGACAGTGACTCCAGACCCTGGTATAGACCTCTTGGAAAATGGAACCTACACACAGAAGCGGATGGTGGTGGGGGGTGGGGCACTTTTCACTTTCAGAGGGTGGAGACACATGCCTGCCACTTGGAAACATACTGCATACAGGAACTCTGGATTTCCGAGACTAAAGGGACATTAAACTTACAAACATGCCAAGAAAAGAAAAGAAAATTTCAAAACAGCCAATCACCAGAGAGGAGATAAAGATCTGCACGAAGAGACTGAAAAACAGTTACAAAGTAAAAAAGTCTAGAGACAACTGGACAAATGTAAAACAAACAGCGACACCAAAAAGTCTGCACGTCTACAAAAGAAAAGGCGACACAATTCAATAGAAAACTCAGGTAGGCAACGTGGTCCATGAAAGAGTTTAGCATCTTTATCACAAGACAGCGTGAATAAGCGGGGAAAAGTGATGAGACCACTTTCCAAACTCATGCACAAGTTGTCACAGTGTTCTGCCTCTGGAGATCCAGCCCCAGCCCCAGATATAAGATGGAGAGTACATCTCATACATGAAAACCCTACAGGATGGGGGGCATTGACACTGTGTGTCGCCCTAGCCCACCACCAGCTGCCATGTACCGGGCAGGAGCTCATCTTATAAATCTGAAATTGAACTTAAAACCCACTGAAGGCCAGCTTTCCCTGCCCCAACTAACCCCCTTCCCCCCAGCAGCCACAATGCCCATGGCTTTAATTTAGAAAAATAAGAGCAGGGGCAGGGCAGAGGGCTCAGTGGGTAAAAGCGCTTACTGAGCAAGCATGAGGACCTGAGTTCAAATCCCCAGCACCCATGTAAAAAGACAGGTATGGCCAAGTACACTCATAAACCCAGTGCTATGGTGGGTGGAGACAGGCACTGGCTGTCAGTCAAGGTCTGGCTTTAGTGACAGACTCTGCTCAAGGAAATAAAATGGAGGGTGACAAAGCAAGACCCTAACGTCCACCTCTGGCTTCTACACGTGAATAGGCATGCAAACAGAATGGGCAGAAGTGTGGTGACCTAGAAGTTACGTCCTTTGGTTCTGGAATGCCCACCCCCGTGCCTGCTGCTGGACACGGAGCAAAGGGAGCCGAAGAACCACTAAGATGCCGACGCCCTGGGCACCTGGGTGGGACTGGCTTTCTACAGGCTGAGTAAAGTGGGAGGCACACTCTTCCAAGGAGCTCTTGGCTCCTTGAGGGCTCCATACTCAAGAGGGTCCCCCTGTCTGAGATCCCGGAGTGCCTTGGAACGAGCACCAACTTCTCTGTTAAGCTTCAGCAAGCAAATGAGGTAATAGAGAGGGGAGAGAAGGGGGAAAGGAGGGAGGAGGGAGGGGGGAGAGGGGGGAGGAGAGAGAGGAGAGAGAGGAGAGGAGAGAGAGGAGAGAGGGCTCCGACAATCGCCTGCCACCATCTAAATGCAAGGCACCACAGCGGCGGGCTACCCCACCGAAGCCCAGCCTCCCAGACACCTGTTTACATCCAAACCCCTCCGGCTGGGCTCCTGCTGGGCTGTTCACACAAACACACACACACACACACACACACACGCACGGGCTGTTCACACACACATACACACGCGGGCTGTTCTCACACACACGCGGGCTGTTCACACACACGCGCAAGCTGTTCACACACACGCACACGCGGGCTGTTCACACACACACGCAGGCTGTTCACACACACGCGGGCTGTTCACACACACACGGGGCTGTTCACACACGCACACTGTTCACACACACACACACACACACACACACACGCACGCATGCACGCACGCTCTGAGGAGAGAACATGAATGTGCTGAGCTCCCCGCAAGAAAAAGGTTCCGGAGGACCTCTCCCAGCCCTGCTGCACTCCCCACTGAAACCCCTCAGCTTCCTCCAAAGGATGAAGTCTTCACACTGAAGTAAAGAAAGACCAAACCTCAGAACACCAGAGAGAGGTCCCAGCTGTCTGTCCCCAAAAACATGCCCAGGGAGGACATCCTCCACACCCACATCAGCATATCCTGCATTAGACCAGTGTCCTACCCACCCCAGAGTAACTGGACCTCAACAACAGTTGCAAATACCCTTCTCCCAGATGAGCATGGACTTGAAAGGGCACTGCTCAACTTGACACACTCCCTGACTTACAAAGAAACCGGGGCTGAGAGAGCCTAGGTCTGCACTTCCTCCTGGGCTGTCTCACAGCAAAGAGTGGGCGCTTTGCCCACCAAGCCTACGTCATGCCCAGGCCTCATCTACACCTGCCATCCTGACTGCCGCTGCCCGATGTCCCCTACCAAACCCTGCAGGCCTCTTATGTCCACCTGAGCACCACCACCCTCACCACCGGCTGCCACGTGCCGGGCAGGAGCTCATCTTATGAATCTGAAATTGAACCCACTTGAACACCCCTCATCTGTGCTCTGTAAGTGAGCCCAATAAACACAGTGAATAACCAAGTTGGACTTGGTCTGTCATTGGGGCCCTATCTGGGGTGAGGAGACATTTGTCTTCTCCTCAGGCCACAGGAGAAGAGAACTCCAGCCCTCTTGTTACCCATAGGAGCCCTGTGCTCCCCCGGGAACACCCAGAACTCCTTGCACCCACACCTCGCGCCCTGCAGCCTCCCCTTCCTCTCGTCCTATCCAGCTTCAACCACTGGCTCTTCCTGAGGCGGGACAGTTCCTTCCTTTGCTGGTCTCCTAGGCACCACTGGGTTTTCGGGTGTCTCCCCTCCCCTCCCCTCCTCACATCCCTACCTGGGCTGCACCAGGGTCTGGCTTGACCAACTGACCCTCTGGAGGAAAGTGTGACTTTCAGACAGTTCCAGACGAGCAGGTGCCACCTGAACACAATTTCTCACAGTGAGCCACAGCGTCCGTCATGGTAGTGACACGTGCTCAGAATGCAATCGGCCATGTCCCCAGCAGGGCCATCACTGCACCCCCATCTGGAAGGAGGCGTGCTTGGACACACCCCCTGCTGCAACTGTTCTGGGGCATGCTTCAAGGACACAGGGACTACAGGTCTCCAAGAGCCAGCCCAGTAACAAAGGCCCAGGGAGGGTGGCACCTGTCACCTGGATCTGGAGGACCCTGGTCCTGTGGGTCCCAGTAGGGCAGGACAGTGGGGGTTGTCCTCTCCAGGCTCCCCCAGCTCTGGTGGCA